CCTAGTAGCGTCCTTGTTCCTAGTAGTAAGGCCAGGAGCCCCTAGTATAGCGTCCTTGTTTCCAATACTGTTGCCAAATCCAGGAGCCCCTAGCGCCCTTTTGTTCCTCGTAGTAAGGCCAGGAGCCCCTAATAGCGTCCTTGTTCCTAGTAGTACGGCCAGGAGCCCCTAGTAGCGCCCTTTTGTTGCTCGTAGTAAGGCCAGGAGCCCCTAGTAGCGTCCTTGTTCCTCGTAGTATGTAACCTGTGTGGGTTTGCTTGGAAAAGCTCTGAGGATCAGGCCTTGGCTGTGAAGCTTGGCCTTCGCAACAGTTCTGTCGAATGCAGTTTCGGCAAGCGCCGCAAGCCCAACAGTTTGGTGCAGTTGGTTGCCTTCTCCCTCTTTCATGTGAGGAAGGCAGCGGAGACTTGGAAACTGCTTCTCGGACTTTCCTGAGATTTGGAAGACAAACACTTTGCAGCAAGACAAGCTGCGACAACAACAAAACATTGAACCCAAGAAACGAGACAGGAACCAAACAAGGTCTTTTATTGCTTGTCTCTGCTTGTTCCCCCAACACCAAGGCTCTTCTGCCGGAATGCTGGGTGGACAGCTGCATTGACCTTACACAAAACAAGCACAACATGTTTGCTTTCTTGACTATTTGCTTTCCTCAGATCGCTATGCCCACATTTGGTGTTTGTTTTGGCTCTGTGGTGAGTTGGGGTTGATCTGAATGTTCGTGATAAGTGTGTGGTCCATGTGTTGATCTTAGTGATGACTTCCAACGGAAAAAACAACAACCATTGATCCACGGACCATTCACAGACCAATCCAGTTTCATTTGAGGTCGACCAGACCAAGCGGTGTCAACAAAGCCAAGCCCGGTACAAACAGTCGCTACTCGAACAGAGCGTACCATGTTGATACGAAGCGGTGAAACGATCCCCCTTAGGAAGCTTCTATGCTCTTGGTTTTAATGAGTTTCTGAGACGCTGGCAGTGGTCTGGGTTTCGTTCGCATATCATAGAGTCATAGAGTCTTAAACATTGGGCGTTGGTGAGCGGGACGCGGGCAGCGGGTGGAACAAGGCTCGCTGGAAGAAAAGGCTGCAGGATTGCGAACTGTCTCAGCTCAACACCAGGGAGCAGAGCTGTCGGAAGTCGGCGCCCAAGCAGCCAGTACACTCAAGCCTTCGTCAAAAAAATAACAACCTAACACAACATCACAAAAAACATCAACTCAACAAAAAATTCAGCGAGTTGTTTTGTATGTCTTTTGCAAAACACAAAATTCAATCTTGGAGAGGGGCTAAGAAGCTGACTCCTCCGGAAGTTCAGTTGGAACGTCCAAGTGATCATTGATACCATAAACCCACACAGGTGGCCTCAGTGACCGTCGACTGACATCGATCGTGGAGTCGAGTCTAAGTCTGGTACCAGATCTTCTGGCCTCAGAAAAAGCTCCGTTCGTAGCGTCCTCTTGTTCCTAGTAGCGATGCCCTTTGTTGCTAGTAGCGTCCTCTTTGAAAAGAAAGCAAAAGTGTACACTCAAGAATGTTCACACTGCGCTTCCGACCTCCCTCACAGTCTTCCTGGAGTAGAAACCAAATGAATAGTGCAAACGCTTCTTCAACGAAGCTCCCCCAACCGCCTTCAGGACGGCAGGGGGAGCTTCCTTGAAAATTAAGGGCCAAAAAAACCTGCACGTTGAAAGATCTCCTCTCCGGCAGAGCGGAAGTTTTCAAGACGGAAGTTGCATCAAAAATAATAAAACTTAATTCTAATAGCTTCTTTGTTACTACTAGTAAGGCACTTGTTACTACTAGCGTGGCACTTGTTTCTACTAGCTTCTTTGTTACTACTAGTAAGGCACTTGTTACTAGTAGCGATGCACTTGTTCCTAGTAGCTTCTTGTTACTACTAGTAAGGCACTTGTTACTAGTAGCGATGCACTTGTT